CGAAATCTGTCCCCTCTGCCGGCGCCTGCGCTCCTGGCTGGACCCCAGCGGTCTGGCCTCCAGAATAGCCGCAACGCTGGCCCTCCACCCACGCGGGCTTCATCGTGGAATGCCGGGAATCTCCTCCTCTTTCTTAGGAGCGGAGGGCGGCGCGCCAGTGGCGAGACGCGTGAAGGGGTGTGCCAAGGTTTCGTAGTTGAAAGTTGAAAAGCAAAGCTGCACGTACTTCCTTTGCCCAAGAGATGTTTCGCAGGCTTTCTGGTTATTTTAAATTCACATCTCTTCCTGTTAATTGTGTCTCCCCTTAGCCTTTTGTAAACAACAACAACAACAAAATAAACTCTGTGATTGGCCTGGTTCTGTGCCTGGGTGCTCTGAAGAGTCTGAAACCCACAGCTTCCTTCCTTCCGTGAGCCTCAGGAACCCAGCTCTAAATTCCTTCAACCACGAGTTATTTTTTCGGTTGACTCTTTTCCTCCTCCTTGTCCCCGAGCAGTCCATTAAGGTCCCACCCCGTGGATGACCAGACAAATCACCTGTATTCCGCTGGGGCTGCCCTAACTTCTCGTTACCAGGGCGTCCTTCCAATAGAAAGCTTACAATTTTCTCCTGTGAGACAACTGTAAGATAACAGGTTAGTGGCATGAATCAAAGGATACATTGTTCTGTTATGTAACGTGGGCTTTTTGAATTTTATTTCCATTATTAACTTGTTTTAAACTTTATTGCTTGGATGAGCCAATGTCATAGATAAACTCTCACTTTGTCCAACAAATACCACTCCCTCTCCCCTCCCCAACTTAAGATGCTGACAACACAGGGGCTGATTTCTTCCTGAGAGGCTGAATATACAACTGGACAATGGCCAGACCTTATGCAAAAATAGAACTATGAACCACAACTTCTGCAGCAATAATCCCTGAAACCAAATTTGTTGTGGGGACTCAATGAGAAAATGTACGAGTTTGTAAAGCCCTTAGCATTAACTTGGTACACAGTAAATGCTTAAAACAAGCTTGCTATTGTTATGCTATTAGTGTATTTATTATTCCCTGACTCCCACTCCTGCAGGGGAGAGGAATAACTGTCTTGCTGTCTTCCATGGGTTGGAGTTCCTTGGTGTAGAAGTTTGAGAAACACTGTAGAGGACATGCATTGCCCAAGGCAGAGCAGCTCTTGGAGCTGTGCTAGAACGAATTTGCTGTTATCAAAGATTAAGAATAAAAGCTTTTCTTAAAAATGATAGCAGAGGGCCGGCTAAGTGGCTCAGTTGGTAAAGAGCACGAGTTCTGAGCAACAGGGTTGCTGGTTCGATTCCCACATGCGCCAGTGAGCTGTGCCTGAACTGAGCTGCCACTGAGCTGCCAACAGGTACCAGGATGGCTCAGCTGGTGAGAGTGCATGCTCCTAACAACAAGGCTGCCAGTTGGACTCCCTCATGGGATGGTGGGCTATGCCCACCTGTAACTAAGATTAAACGGTACTTTGAGTTGAGCTGCCCTGAGCTTCCTACAGGCAGCTGGATGGCTCAGTGGTTAGAGCGTGTGCTCTTAGCAACAAGGTTTCCGGTTCGACTCCCACATGGGATGGGGGGCTACACCCACCCTCAACTAAGATTGAACACTGGCACCTTGAGCTGAGCGGCTGTGAGCTGCCAACGGGCGGCCGGATGGCAACTGGACTTGGAGGTGAGCTAGCTGCACCCTCCACAACTAAGATTGAAGGACAACAACTTGGCTGTTCCCCTTCCCCAGTTCCCCAACACTGTTGCCCTTCCCTAATTCCACCCCCCCCCAAAAAAAATCTTAAAAATAAATAAAAAGGCATGTTTTCCCAATGCCTGAAAGTTTCCAATAAAATGCTATGATGGGGCCAGCCGAGTGGCACATTGGTTAAGAGTTGGCTTGGGATGCCAGCTCTGAGCAGCAGGGCCCCGTTTCGGATCCCACATGAGGGTCAGTGACACTGCGCCCCCTACAGCTAAGATGGTGAACAACAGCTCCACCTGGAGCTGGGCTGCTGTGAGTTGCTGGCGGTGTAGGCTGCAGTGGGGCTGGCCGGCAGGTTGCGTGAGCTGTCGTGAGCTGCCGTGAGCCACCGTGAGCAGCTGTCCAATGGCCGGCGAGCAATTGCCTCACCTGGGAAGAGCGCAATGATAATACCAACATGGGCCAGTGAAGTGATGTCCTCCACAACTAGACTGAAGAACAAAAGGACAGCAACATGTCTGTTCCCCTCCCCCAATTCCCCAATAAAATCTTTAAAAAAAATGCCATGACAGATATTAAAAAAAAAAATGACAGCAGATTCAAAGTCATCCCTATAGCAAAGCCACTCTCAAACAGTCACATTCTGACTTTTTGTCCCCACAGGAAGGAAAGGGGTGAGCTTGTCACTAGCATAACCATGGGCTGCTCCATGGCCATAGGTGGGTGGGCAGGCGATAGAGGCAGACTAGAGGTAGAAGCTTGGCCAGATGCTCTGGTTTCCAGTGCTGAAGAAGGCCAACCCCTCCTCTAGGGTCCCTTTCGCACAAGTCCTTTCCTCAAGTGGAAACTTGTATTTATGGAATGTGGAAGTAAACGAGGATCACCCTAATGAGAACAAGCTAAGGCCATTTAATTCAGAGCTTTCTATAGCCAGGGGATCAGCCATCATTACTTGTGTTTGGCAAAGACTCAAAGACAGGCAGAGGGAAGCTTTAGAGTGGGAAAGGGGAAAGGCTTCAGCTGTGTCCTGATTGGTAGTTACTGGCTTGGGGAAGCTAGAGGTGGGCCAGCTGCTAGCTGAAGTGACATCCTAGGCATATGTGATTGGTTCAGGGAACATACTTAGCCTTCTTCAGTTGGTCCTCAGTGGGAAATGGGGGGAAAAATTAGGGAAGCTGGCACATATTGCTCAGGTCCTGACGGTTTTCATCCCTTTTATTTCTGGTTATACACCTTCAATCCACAGCCGCAGGTGTGGACACATAAACCTAACCTGAACAACCTACGAATTCCATTTGTTTGGTGACTGTAATTGGTTCAAGAAATGCCTGTGTGATCCAAGCTGGGTCAATAATATAACTTCTCCAGAACTGAAGTTTGGACATTAGGAGAAAGAGGTTTTGTCTACAGCAGCTGCTAGATGGAGAGACTGTTGATTTGGGGCGGTTGGCGGTCATCTTTCCCACCATGTGGAGAGAGAGTGTGTCTGCGGAATGAAGCTGTAAAGAATTAATCATACCCAAAGAAAGATCTGGCCTTTGCCTTTTGCTCCTGTGAGGTGACTGGTAAACAATAACTTCTGTAGCTTTTCTGAAAGAAAGGGTTTATGAGCCCTATGCTATCCAGCAAAAGGATCAGGCCCTGAGGTATGCAGTCTAAACCACCAGCAGCAGAGCTAGGTGGAGAAGACAAACATGTCTGTCACTCTGGGATTGACGATGAGTTTGGGGAAGAAAGGTGTAATTTTTTGGAAAGAATTTACATTGGCTATTGATAAGGGGGTGAGGAGAAGATGAAAAGGGGCTAGTTCTGAGATAGGTGCAGAGTCCATAGGGAAGAAGTGTGTGTTCTCTTTGCAGTTGTTGTGGGCATCAGATATGGAAGGCTGCAAGTATGGTGGCACCTGGTGGTTCACTATTCAGCTGTTCTCTGTAGATAATCGCAGAAATAGCCACCTGGAAGATAATTCAAAGTTTCACATACATTCAGAAATGTAAGCAGTCCTTGTTGGCTTTGACCTGCAGCCTCTATCGTCTCTTCCTTTCACCCTCTGGTTTAATGTAATTTAATTTAGGACATTTCAGAATTTTCTCCTTATCATGATCTTTAAACCCTTGGAATAGCCTACTTGATAAGAGTGTTGGTGTTTACCTGGGGACCTTGGGCTATGCCAGCTGGTCTACCAGTGTGATTTATAAGAAGAAGGAAACGTGGACATAGATACAGAGGGAGAAAACCACATGAAGGTGGAGGCAGAGATTGGAGTGATGCATCCACAAGCCAAGAAACCCGAGGATTATCAGCAACCACTAGAAGCGAGGGAGAGGCAAGGAAGGGTCCTTCCTAGCGTCTTCAGAGACAGCATGGCCCTACCGACATCTTGATTTTGGATTTCTAGCCTCCAGAACTGTGAGGGAATACATTTCTGTTGTTTCAAACTGCCCAGTTTGTGGTACTTTGCTCCAGCAGCCCTAGGACACAAATACAAAAATCTAGCTCTCATCTGATC